GATAATCCCTGTCATTTGAAATCCGGAGTACCCCCCTGGGCTGATCACTCCTAGGGCTTAAAAGGTTAAGGGAAGATGGTTTTTGTTATTTTAAGGAGTTTTAAAATAGGGGAAAGCTTATAACTTCCCTTTGAAGATGATTTTTTAAAAAAATTTTTAAATGTTGTATCTATTCCAATGCATCCTGAATAAATTATGTAGTGTATGTATATATGAGTGGTTTTGTCGAAAACTTAGACGTACCATATATACCGCCAATAATATTACTCTATTCAGTATACTTTTTTTAATCAGTGTCTTGTTTCCCAGCTGAGATTGAACATTGACAGAGTATCCTGCTGAATTTTTTTTTGTAGTAAAAGTGATGTTAGTCAGTCCCAGAAGTATGCTAAATTCATAAATTACTGCAATCCTTATGCTCATTCTTATTCAGCCTTGTTTTGGAAAAAGTGCTTTTCAAGGCAGTGCCTTCTATTACAAATTTCCTAGTTTAGAAGGATTCGATCAAACGCTGATATAAAATTGGATTACACAGTTTAGAGGTTATTGGTTTCTGAGACAATAGGCTGTATAATACAAAAGCTTAAAACTAACACTTACTTTTTAAAAATAAACCCTTCCTTCACTTGACTCAGACCTAGTGGATCGAGTACCTTCCAAAGTATACTAAATAAAAACGCTTGCTTTAACCAATTTTCACTTTCCCCGAGACGAGGGCCAACGTTTCTTACAAGTTCACGCCTCCGTTAAAACACTTAACTCGCCGAAAAGAGCAATTCCATTCTAAAAATGGTCGTCAATGTTAATAAATTAATACAAATGACGTTTTTGTCGTTTTGCACTGACCAATGGATAGTGCTGTTCAAAGCACAGACGCGCTTGGATTTTTTTTTCTAGAAAGAAAACTTTCCGCTGCTTCCTGGTGTGAAGGCTGTTGCTATAAACATTATATTAAATGCGTGTGCATGAGTAAATACACGTATTAATACAATTGTTTCGCGCGCACGTGGGCAAGAAGACCTCAGTTTCCTGTGAAACAATCACTGCAATCTCTTACATTAGTCGTATGTTGACAAATCGTATGATTTCGATCAAGCTAGGGTCTTGTTTCGCTACACAGTAGCTACGACTATGAAACACATCTATCAGTTGAAGTCGACCGACCACTTACTGATTTTGGGTTTTACGAGACAAAAATCGAAAACAGCGGCCATTTTTTCTCTCGCACAAATTTCTGCACGTTTCTTGTCTCATTTTCACGTTAAGACGATGTGATACAAGTTTTTTGTTGCCTTTAAGGACCACGTGATATGATACACGTTTTCTCGCTTCAAAGCCATGTGAAAGATCACACGTCTTTTGAGTTACGCCAAAACTATGTGATTTCACAGACACGAGTGAATTGGAATCTCTCGATCGCATGCACAAATCTGTGATTACTGACTAGTTCTTATTTTTGTGGAATTTTGAAAATATTTCTGTTTCTGTTTGTTTGCTGTTTCCCAAATTCGGACGTGAACTATTTTTTAAAACTCAAACTGAAAAGGAATCTCGATCGCACGCACAAATCTGTGATTACAGACTAGTACTAAACGTATTGTACCCTAAGGCAATATTTTGATATTTCATAGTTTTTGATTTTGTAGAATTTTGAATTATTTCTGTTTCTGTTTGTTTGCTCGGTTTAATGCACCAAATTCGGACGTGAACTATTTTTTAAAACGCAAATTTAATTAGAATCTCGATCGCACGCACAAATCTGTGATTACTGACTAGTACTAAAATTTTTGTATTCTAAGGCAATATTTTCGTATTTCATAGTTTTTGATTTTATGGAATTTTGAATTATTTCTATTTCTGTTTGTGTGCTGTTTAATACGCCAAATTCGGATGTGAACTATTTCTAAAACCGAAACAACAGTTTCAAATGTTTTCCGTTTGAAAATTCCAAAAGATTTGAACTTTCGACTTCCTGACCTACAGTTTTGGACGGGTGAAATGAAATGAAAAGGGACG